ATTGGAAGAGAACATTTGTAGATATCTTTATCGATATCCCCACATAATATTCTTTTTGACATTGCATCCAGAGGTTGAGTAAATGTTATGCGAAATATTAGCTTATTCCGTATTCATACCTTAAACTTCCTAAGCAAGATTTTCAAAAGGTAGAGCTCGATCAAAACATCATTTAAGCCATGTTGTGGAGTGCTGTTGCTCTGAGACAAAAGAATGACGCTGTTCATGAAAAATGATATGTCTACGATTCATCATTGCAGACACTTTACCAAGTTTACCCGAAGTGATAAGTGACTTCCGAAAAGCGAAAGTGAGCATTTGTCACATGACTTAAATACTGTTCCAATAATCACTTCCACACACGTAGAATTGTTGGAATAGAGGGGGGGTAAGTTCCTTAAGAAACTGTGGTGCTGCGTGGGCGAGGGGTGTAAAATGACAAATTGGTATAATCAACTTAGTTGATAATGTAAATTGGCCACCATAAAGAGTCTCTAAAGCTAACGTTTCGAGCGTTAGCCCTTCTTCATAGCAAATAGAGGAATTTTGAGTTTTTTCAGTTTTCTTTGCATGAAAATGAAGCAACGCTATTGTTGGGAATATGGTAACGAGAAAAAAAAAAACAAACGAATAAATTAGTTAAATGAAAAGCGTTATATACCGTGGGAATTAAATGTGCCGGGTTAAACCTTATCAAAATTCTAAGTGAGGGTTGATATTCATGCAAGGGAGTCGCTTTACACTCGACTAGATAAGGATCTGGCAAGCAAATTTAAAATTCTATGATCTATCTTTCTCTACCTGTTAAGGTGCGCAACTATTGTCACGCGGGAGTATCCCTCTTCCGACACGATTTTCCACATGGCGACTTGCATAGGATAGAGACTTTTCGGGCCAAACGATAGGTTGGTAGCTTTGGTACTGTTCGTTCTTTACAACACGTGTTATTGGTGTCCTAAGTACATGTTGCCTGTCAGAAGTTATCATTGCATCAAAGTTCTGTGGATGAAAACTCCCAAAGAACGCCAAAATATTAGTTAGTATTAATCTATGTATTGCTTTTGGTCACAGGGCAGGATTAAAAATAAAAAAAAAATACAAAATAAAAAAACTGCATGACAGGGACTGTCTCTTTAAAACTTTAAAAGTAACAAGTTTTTAAGATTAACTCGAACTCAGCAAGAGGCCTACCCGAAATCAAACAATTCAAATTTGAGTAAAAGTTTGAACCTGATACTGAATTATCTAAAAACTTTCCAAAACCCTTGCTTTCCATTTTCTGTCCTTCCTGGGATCTAATCGTGGTCAAAGAGGAACGAAGCTAACTATGAAAATTTCTAAACTTGTTTTCCTTGTCCGGCGTGGGAACTAAATTTGTCTTAGTCAGCTACCATCTGTAACTTAAAAAGAGTTTGGACAGCAGTAACTTCAGACCTTATAAAAAGAGAAAAAATTATTAATAAATCGTATCAAAATCGTAATAATTGCACACCTTTTAACATGAGTGAGCTTGGCAAGTTAAGTATGATGAAATGAAAATGATAAAGGTTTTCTTTATCGTGTAGCAGTACCGGTCCCTCTTTAGATTCTTATAAATGTTTTCCATATTCAACTTTATAAGATGCTAAGAGTAGAGAAATTGATAATAAATTTGAAATCCTATCTTAAAATTTCAAATCTAAAAACAAACCAACACGTTATAAGATGGTTTATATAACATTTTGGCTTTTACGTCTCCCAAAGTGATTTTATTCCCCAGGTATATAACATTCCTGTCGGAATACAATAAAATTGGGTGTCATTCAATCACATATGATATTTACATCATACATGTTGAATACCATAAAGACAAAAATTGAATAGCCAAACATCGCGATGAAGTTAGACCGCCGCAGTGTTTAGTCTTATAACAAACAGTGGTCTGCCACTTCGAAAATTGCTAAAGGCAAAAATAAGAAAAAACTGCGTCCATGAAATGATCGTACCAATGAAAGGGATCTAATGGTGCAACAAGCGGATAACACATTTTTGCTTAGAACCATTTAATCGTACGGTATTGTTTGTATGAAACCGAAATTGTGCGAAAAAGGCAGAAAGATTCTCTTTAAGGCGAACAAAACACCGCGTCCATGAAATAGTCGTACCAATCAAAGGGATCTAATGGCGCGTAAAGTGTGAGTAAATCTGTTTGCCTTGAACCACTAAATCGTTCGGGATTATTTGTTCGAAACCGAATTCATGCACAGAAGGCAGAAAGATTACCTATCATCAACATATGTGAAATTCTAATTGATTACCGTAGCTTTTATAAGACCTTGCAGAATTTAGATTTACATTCAAAACCCCTTAAACTTTGCAGGCCGATATTTCTTTCTCGCGGAAAAACCCAGGGATAAAATAATAGGAAACCGAATGAGGATGATCGTTAAACGTAGTTATCTAAGAAAGCCGTCCTCTGTTGCTAATTCGACGTGATTACCTACGAAATTCTGTCGCGTTTTGGCTTAGCGAATTTTAACTTGTACCCTTTATAGCACCCTTAGGTTTCCATGCGCTTTCGCTTTGTGCTTTCCCGTCGCGTTACAGCATGTAGGGATTATGAAAAAAATTAGGAATTAACTTTTACTCTTGTCTCTTTTTACCACTTCACGTGCACCATTTAGATGTTCAAAAAGGCATAAATTGCTCTTCTTACCTACGGCAACAATAACACCATTACTTGCGGCAACAGCCGTGAGACCTACAGCGTCAATTGCCATGACACTCACGGAGTACTTTTCGGCCATCGTCAGAGATAAACCTGTGTGGATTATACTTTTCGCGGTCTTAGAAGATGTCCAGGGTACAATAGCCGTTCCACAGCTGTCTGTTATCTTGTACTTATATTCTACAATGCCGCTACCTTTTGTGCCGTCCGTGAAACCATGCCAATTTGCTGCAATCATGGTAGAATCTACTTGGTAAGATACATCTCTGGAGCCTCCGTCGTTGACAGCCCCTGCTTGAGGGGCGTCACGATCAATAAGTACACAGTCTGAGGAGCGCTCAGAGTACAACATGGCTTTGTTGTAGCCTCTTACAACAGCACAGTACTTCTCTCCAGAAATTAGCTTAAGGTTGTTTGCAGTTCCAGAACAATTAAGACCAGTAGAGATAAATTGTGTAATGAAACCGACGTTGAGATGATATACTGCCCAAGTATATTTCAAGATAAAAGATTGTTCATCAAGGAAAGGTTCCCAGTTAGCACTGAAAGTATTGATCCACGATGCATATTTCACGTCAGATCCTGTTTGACTGCCATCGTAAATCTTCGCCGTGATTGGGTGGCTGATGTCAACTAGAAAACCATCGCTAGATGCAGTCGTACTCAAACCAACGGCATCTGTTGCATTAACAGTTACAAAGTATCTGATGTTATTTCTCAGGAGCAAGCCCCCTTTAGAAAAACTTGTAGCGTTCCCCACAGATGTCCAGTCTAAAAAAATGCTTCCGTTCTCGTCCACAACCTTGTATTTGTAGTCCACAATACCACTTCCATTTTTACCGTCCGTGAAGCCATACCAGTTGGCAGATATCAAGGTGTCATTCGATTGATAGTCTACGTCACTAAGATATCCATCATTGACTGTGCCGGCCTGAGGAACGTTACGATCTATCAGAACACAATTTGATGCAGCTTCCGTATAAAGACCAGCTCTGTTGTAACCTCTTACAACTGCACAGTATCTCTGTCCTGAAAATAATTTCAGTCTCGTTACATTCGCAATGGTGTTGAGTCCAATTTTGAAGAAAGAAGTTATATAGCGATTGTTCATTTCTTTCACCGCCCAGTCATATTTTAGTATTAAAGACTGTGGATCAATGAAAGGATCCCAGTTTGCACTGAATGTGTCATTCCATGTTTCGTATTTTGAATCTGAACCAAGGTGACCTCCGTCATAAATCTTTCCCGCTCGAGGAGGACTCGTGTCGACTAGAACTCCATCACTGGTCGCACTAGAGCTTAGACCAGCAGCATCTATGGCTTTTATGGTGACGAAGTAAATGGTGTTACTAATTAAGGACAAACAGCTGGTAGTTATGTTTTTCGCATTACCAACATTTTTCCAAGGGACCACGATGTTTCCATTGGCGTTTGATACTTTGTACTCATACTTAACAATTCCACTTCCTTTGATTCCGTCAGTGAAACCATTCCAGTTTGCTGTTATGCGGGTACTTTCTGACTGGTAATCCGAGTCATCAGCATACCCGTCATTCACAGTACCTGCTTGTGGAGGATCGTGATCTATGAGCAAGCAGTCTGATGTGGCTTCCGAAAATAAACCAGCTTGGTTGTAGCCTTTGACAACGGCACAGTAACGTTCTCCAGAAACTAAGTGTAGGTCTCTTGCTGTTGCGGAGTGGGAAAGTCCCGTGGAGCTGAAAGAGGAGACGTAACTACCATTCAGTAGCTGTACTGCCCACGAGTACTTGAGCAATGGAGATTGTGCATCGATAAAAGGTTCCCAGTTTGCGCTAAATGTGTCATTCCATGAGGCATACTTCATGTCTGAGCCTGGATCACTACCATCATAAACCTGTCCTTTCAGTGGAAGGCTGTTGTCAACAAGAACTCCATCACTGGTTGCACTGGCGCTAAGACCCACTACATCAATTGCGCTGACTGTAACAAAGTATTTGGAATCACCCTCTAAGGACTGACCAGACACGATAATGTTTGTTTCATTTCCTGCTGATGTCCAGTTTAGAATGGTGACTCCATTCTCTTGCGTAATCTTGTACTTGTACTCTATAATTCCACTTCCTCTGTTTCCATCTGTGAAACCATTCCAGTTTGCTGCTAGCACGGTATTGTTTGATTGGTAGTCTATGTCAGCGAAACTTCCATCGTTAACAATGCCGGCCCGGGGAGCGTCGTAGTCTATCAACACACAGTCAGAAGTAGCTTCAGTGTACAGACCAGCCATATTGTAGCCTCTCACGACTACACAGTATTTTTCTCCAGAGACTAAGTTTAATTCACCAAATGTTGCTGTTCGATTGAGAGCGTTGTCTCTATAGGCAGTGCTAAACAGTTCACCTTGTTTTTTAATCGCGCATGTGTATCGCCAGATAGTTGTTTGAGGATCACTGAAAGGATTCCAATATGCGAAAAACTTTTTTCTCCAGGTGGCGTATTTGACGTCGCTGGTATTTTTAGTCCCAGCAAAGACTTTTCCTGCTATAGGCGGCGTGCTGTCAAAAATTATTCCATTACTCTTAACTTCTCTATAAAGTCCTGCTTTTGTGTAGGCACGAACGACAAATTGGACCTTGGAACCATCAGTTACATTGCTAATTGTGATGTTCATACGAGTATTCAGGTTCGTGTTGGAGAAAATGGTTAACTCTGTGTTCTGAGAGCTCCCATACGAAGTTAGAAGAACTTTCCACTCGTACTTGTCAACACCATTTCTGGTTTGAAATCCTCCCCAGTTGACTTGGAAAAGCTTGGAAGATTGATAATCCAGGTCCTCTGCTGCCCCATCGTGAACCCATCCGTGTGTTGGTTTTGAAGTGTCCACGATTACAGCCAAACTGCATTCACGATGTTGTTCTTTGTCCCTCAAGTCAGATGCAGCGACGGAAATTTTGTAACTTTTATTATCTTGAAAGGTCAACCCTGATAAAGTTTGCAGGCTGTTGGTGTTTTTTAAGACGCCATTTGCGAGTGACGAACCAGAGCAACTGGACGCTCCTGGCAGAAGAAACCATCTCAGATTTACTTTTCCACACGATACATTGAAGCCAGAGATTTTAATGAAAAGTTTGTCGGTGACATGCTGGTAGAAAATTGTGTCATGGAAGTTCTGGTCAACGATGGTAACAGTGCCTGCCGTGACATTAACTCTATCAACTGCAAAGCTAGGACACGTCCCATGGCTGCCGTCACACCTGATGATTTATATTTTTCGTAAACGCTTAAATTAGTCCATAAAGAATAACGCGTTGAATTAGGTCGTGATTTTTACTTTGTTACTTCAGCGCCACCAGATCGAAACTGAAACCCAATATACCACATTTAAGTCTTAAGGGCGCGGAAAGACAGTAGGTGAAAGTGCCTTCCACATATAAGCGCCCGAAATTAAGGATTCAACATCTAGAAAAATTATCCACATTCATGATCCAATTATTACTTAACGGACATTTTTAAGTCAACGCAAGTCATGTTATCGGGAAAACAACAGCTAGACTTTACGGGAAAATGGCATATGTTCATTAATTTTTACAAGTGAAACAACTCTGGGCTTAAAAAAAAATTTTAGTTGTTTCTTCAATGTTCTCTTAGATAATTGCTCGCTGCCGCCGTGTAATATCCATTTGATTTCCTTTTCAACCGTCATCATAGCTGAGCGTGTATCTCAATTCTCGTTCAAGAAATTTCTCTGATTCACTGTTTTCCTGAAAGTGTCGAAAAATTGTGTGTGCTTAAGATGATCCTCCTAATCTTGTGTGGCACGAACGATACGTGTACACTTTTTAAATTCATGCAACCAGCAGTCTCAAACTACGCAAGGGCTCAGGGAGAATTCTTTTTGTGCACATTGATAATATTGATGCACTCACTTTTCGGGTTGATCACACATGTCAACAGCAGATCGACATACTATCCCATTTGTCCTCATAATATCCCGACAACTTCCATCTCCAACACATTCAGATGTTCTTATGCAGATCGAGGATGGATAAGACGATTGGCACCTGTATCTCTGTCCTTTGCAACTAAAAAACCAAGAAACAAAATCTGTACATATCCATATACATGAAAGATAGGGACATATTGCGCGTGCGCCTGACGACGATCCCAAAGAAAATAGCAGGCGTGTGAACAGACTACCTTTGATTGACTAGAACATTAACAATGGGTAAGCTGACAATTAGCACCTCGATTAGTGTCCTTCCAAAACGATAATCGTTGAAATAAAAATTACCTTCCACCATTACACACGTCCCTTTTCGTACACTTGTCGTTGTCATCGCAATGTGCACCGTTGTGATCGGACCATGTATTGCCAGCGCGGGCTACTGCATCTAACAAATCACACCGTTGACACGGATTTGATGGATTTAAGGCTTGATGATCATAGTCTTGACCTGGAATTAAAAATCGGTTTTTTTCTCCTTTAAAAGCTGTCTTACAATTTACATAAAGGCCCTTTTAGCCTTTCAGCGATTTTTTCGATTTTAAGTTTCACAGCTATCATTACCCCCTGAAACATAATTACCTTGAATGAATGGAAAGAGAGTAAGCTCAGTATTAATGATAGTGAATATGTGAAAATCATATATATGATATGCGTAATGAGAAATGAATATGAAAGCTATCTCCACGAAATGAACACTACGTGCAGTGCAGTGCTTTCCCAACCGAGCTAATTAACTAGGCTGAGAGCTGGCTTATTATCACTACTGCTTAAATAATGCTCATTACTGCGAAGATCGCTTTCATATTCAGTTCTTAATCCACAGTTCACATGTATGATTTTCATGTATTCACAATCTTTAATACTGAGCTTACTCTCTTGATTGATTCATCGCTTCACAGGTTTATTACAAACCAACATAATGACCAGCTCCCAGTTGGCTTGTTAACTCAGTTGATAGAGCAATGCACCGGTATCGCAGAGGTCATGGGTTCAAATCCCATACAGGATTCAGTGGTGATTATTTACTGCGAAGATCACTTTCATGTGCAAGCTCATGCACTTTTATAAGTTAACCAACAAGAGAAAATAATAATCCCTCGTAGTGATAGTCTGGTGTACTGAAGACCAAGTCGCGCCATTTTCTCTCGGTCTTTTGAATTTTCTGCATTACTGAGTAAGTCTTAAAAGGAAATTAAAAAAAAAAAAGAAAGTCTCACCGTTCATTTTACATTTGCATTTGCTGTTGGAAAAGCCATACCCAGCCTTTAGGCCACAACTGTTCCCACTACAGTACTGACATATGGAGTTACAGCTGAGAAGTGCGCCCCTGCATTGGCCATTACTGCACTTATCATTTCGAGTACAGCGGTCACTATCGTTGCACGCCACCCCGTCATTGTCTGACCAAGTACTTACACTTTTACTAGTGTCGCATTTCTGTAAAAGGAATATAAAAAACAACAGCTTGATTGAGCCTCCCAAGAAGAAGAAGAAGAAATGGCCTCTCTATTATCCTCTCAGATTGATTAATATTAAGAGAGAGAGATACAAAGTTAGGGTAGAACTTTGTCCATCGTTGGTGTGTTCACGTCAAACTAAGCAACTTTCAATCGAATTTTGTAGGTGGAAGAAAAGCGAAAAAAAAACTCAACTGAGGAAAAGCACTTGGAGCAAGGAAGAGAACGAACAGCAAAATTAAATCACGCATACGTTAAAGTCAGGAATTGAGTCTGGGCGGCAGCGTTGGAAGGCGAAAGCTCCAATGGCTCCTCCGATTCCACTTTCCAAGTACAAAAACAATGTGACACAACCCAAAGGTTTGAATTTGGATTGTCCTTTCAAAGTCTCTCACAATGTCAAACGATTACAGATTTGTTTAGTCGCTAGTTGGAATTCAATGAAACATTAATTACTCGGCAGTCTTATTTTCAAGAGGCACTTCAGTGATCTTAAGTTTCTTGGTGATGGGTTAATGGAATACTTTACTCGCTGGTTCTCAAGGATATATAATAGCATGTTGACTTCAAAAAGTTCACATCTTTAACTAACGTTACCTGACATGGACGCCCCGGCCTCGAATCTCCATCAGTAAAACATGTTTTTGACCCTCTTTCAAAGATTACGCAGTATCCTGATTTTACTCGGCAGGCATCATTGTAACACTCCTCACATGACGCCAAACAGTTGAGTTGCGTACCAACGCATTTTCCACCGGAGCAGCGATCGTTAGAGGTGCATACATTGCCATCGTTACATGCAAGAGCATCATCGTTTGTCCATGATGTCTTGCTGGAGCTGTCACATTTCTAAAGAAAAATAATACTAAAATCATTGATACATTGTGTTAGTGAAATACTTCTTAGTTTGTTGATTTCCTATCAAGAACATACTTTTCACCAATTTCATTTGAGCATGTTCATGAATTTTAGATCGTTTCTGCTATCCCTGGCCCTTTCAATATTGGCCCACGAGACTTCATGGACAAGACGCAAACATTGGAAGAGCAATAGTACAAGAAAAAGTGTCCAAACTAATTATGTCTGGAAATGTGGGTAATTGTGAAACTGGGATTTGTTGCATGGGCTATAAAATTCATTTGTTCAGCGTTCCACCGAAGGTGAATTGCTCGAAAGAAATAAGTGGTGTTAACTTTTCAATAGTGTCCTCAAATAAAGAAATTTGATGATCCATATTTGGAAGTTCACTTCAACGCTCGTACTCGACTAGGCAAGTCTATGTGAGTATCACACATCCCTATCAATCGATAAATGTCATTTGGGTAAATGTTTCCTGAGAAACATCCATTCATCGAGTAATTAGGTGGTTTTGATCGTTATGACAATGTGATATTTCAGAATGCAGCTTTGAGGAACGGAGCTAAACATATATTTCTCACCTGACAGGAATTGCCTGGATTGACATAATTGTAAGGATAACAGTTGCCTCTTATTTTACACTGCGGCAGATTACATTTTCCTCCTGATGGGGTATAACAAGGATAGCAGCTGCACGTATAGCCCCCTCCTTTCAAGTTGGTACAAATATGATCACATGGTTTCAGTTTCGAGCAGAGATCTGAGGGCGTTGAAAGAAATATTGATGGAAGAAGCGTTACCTCGTAACACGTGACAAAGATTGCAGTTATAATTTGTAAACGCTGTAACCTCCTTTTCAAATGTATAATGACAATGCTTAGTCTCGGATTCCCATAACTTTTTGTTTACCATAAGTAGGACACTTAGTTTAAATTCATCGAAAAGAAGGAAAAAAAAAGGAAAAAAATTCAGTCTTAACTAGGAAGGCCCTTGTGGCGCCTTTGCCACCTACTATCCTAGTTACAGGATTGGAACACGGTGAACAAGTAATTAAGCAATTCGTTTCGGGAAATAAGTGACTGTTAGCCCTTAAAGGATCTTTTTCTGAAAGGTGAAGAACGCTTTTAATGGCCGCATTTGTCATCAAAATTACCATTTTGGAAAGAAAAAGAGGGGATGAGGGATATACATGATATACATCATTAATCCTATATTAAAGCTAATAAAGCAAACTTTAAAGAATTCTGTCATATTTGAGATAGGTTTGTCAAGAACTGCACATAAATTGACTTTTAGTAGGATTTCAATTTTTACTACTAGCTTGCTATCACAATTGCTGCAATCTGATAGGCTACGTTACTCGTAGTCAATCCTTACCAGATTGATACTAAAACGATTAGGTATTAAATAGCTGATTAAGTTCTCTCAAATGTGTATATAGAATTGGTAACGCTGAAGTGGAATAGCTTTCTGGCCAAGGTTTTAGTTTCTTTGCAGTGAGTAAAACATTCCACGATTAAGAAGAGGGTCTAAATATATTATTCTGTTATCAAAGTAATCATTTACAAGGAACAAGAATTAAACAGTCTCGGAAAAGAAAATAATAATAATAACAAAAATAATATGCCCCCAACCACCTGGAATTTTGTTTTCGCTCTCACACAGACACTACTCTACCGACCGTAAATTAAAGTAACAACTAACTTAAGTTAATTGTACTGACCCGGGCATCTGTCTGTGTTGCAGGATTGGGTGTCTTGAGATTGCCCAGGACAGTAACTACCTCCACCACTGGGAGCTGGATCCGTGCAACTTCGTGTGCGGTCTTGTGTGCCATTATTACAGAGTTGGCTACATTCACTCCATGAACCCCAAGGCGACCACCCTCCATTAATAACTAGGAATTGAAAAATGAATAATGCATTAATAGATAAATGACTAAATCATAAAATAAATGTATAAGAGAGCTTATATATATATATATATATATCCAAGTGAGCGCAGCATACCGCATCTACTGCGGTAGTCGCTGCTGTTTTTGGGGTGTTGTTATGTCGATTTAGTTCTTTGTTCGTTTTTTCTTGAGCCATAGATGTAAGTTGGGCAACACTTTCTCAAGGGGCAAAAAATATATCCAATAAAATATTTAAATCCAATAAATATTCATCACTTGGATGGTATATTTGGACCCAACATATTGAACAGCTCTCAGTTGGCCATGTAGCTCAGTTGGTAGAGCGCTGCACTGGTATCGCAAAGGTCATGGGTTAAAATCCTGTACGGGCCATTTTTTTTTTTTCAGGTAAGAAGATTTTACAAAAGTTAGAAAAAAAAAAAAAAAAGTGATGAAAAACAGAACTCCTAGGGTTTGAAGAAGTTTACTCAGTGGCTGAGAAGTGAAAGATCTTTACATCGTAAGCCCTGCTACACTGACTGGAGTGCTTCCCTCAAAATTTTGCGATTAGCGAAATTGCTCAGGTAAAGAAATGTCATACTCGTTCTACAGAAGCGGTCCTCCTTTGTATTAAGCTTATCTAGGAACTTGCAACACAAGAATGCAAGCCACCCTCATGAACACAGAAACGAAAAGAGGAAGGACGTATATGTGATCATCGCCTGCACCTCCCGCCATACTGTTCAAATTGAAATATACTCTTGATCGTGAAAACAATGCCTGAGAGCGAATAGTGAGAGTAAACGAAACACCTTCAGGAATTTTGAGAAAGACAACGGGAGTCATGAAAACCTGGCCACTAACCTGACTAAGTTTAATGAGGATTGTTTTAAGGTATGAAACTGCTAAACGACTTAAAAATCGTTGATGAGAAGACAACCACACAAAAAGATTTAAGTATTCAACAGATGGCTTAGCGCATCTCTGCCGTTTATGAATAATCTAGCGTTTTGCTGACGGATGCGTATCGTTATTGGTTGTTCAACGGAATAGTGAAAAGACACGTTGTTCCATATGAATCAAATATGTAAAGATTGCCTTGATTAAAAGTCCCAAATGTGAGTGTTTTTGTCAATGTACGGTCCAAAGACGCAGCGGCCTTGGTGAAAGAATTCACTGCGGTTATCTTTCAAAGCCCAAAGAATGCTTCAAAACTAAGGAATTCCGGAAAAATTGATCCTTTTAGCAAGGGGAAGAAGTTATAAAAAAAAGGAAAAAAAACCTCTAAGAGCTTTAAGAAGTTTGATAAATGGCTAAAGAAGCGAAAGATAAACCGTAATCTTCAGACTGTAAGCCCTGCTGAACTGACCGGAATTCAGCGGAGATGTTCTAGATGTCTCTCTCGAAATTTTGGAACAACCACAATTGCTCAGATAAAGAAATTTCATATCCATTTAAGAGTAGCAATCCTCCTTTGTACTAAGCTTTTCTAGGAACTTGCAACACAAGAATGAAAACAACCGCATAAACATAGTAACGAAAAGGGGAAGGACGTATATGTGATCATCGCCTACATCTCCAGCCATACTGTTCACGTTGAAATATACTCTTGATCGTAAAACAAGGCGTGAGAACTAAGGTTGCAAGTGAACGAAGCACACCCAGGAATGTTTAGAAAGACAAGCAGTGTAACAGTGTGACAAGCAAGCAATGTAAGCAGCCAGTTTAAATCGGGGAGCTCTAACAATGTTCGCACCCTTTTCTTGAAGCGTTGGTGAAAGAATTCAAAGCCCATATAATGCTTGAAAATGGGGAATTATGTTGAGGATAAAACCGAGACAGAAAAGAAAATGTGTTTACGAAATTTCAGGTTGTCACTCGCTAAGTTTCTTGGAAAAATTGCTCGTGAAAGCATAGCCACACCAAAGGATTTAAGCGTTCAGCAGATGGCTTAGCGCTCCTCTACCGTTTATGAATAATCTAGTGTTCGGCTGACTGATGCGGTCGTTGTTGGCCATTTAACAGAATAGTGGAAAGGTACGTTGTCCCACGCGAATCAAATATGTAAAGATTGCATGAATTGAAAGTGCCATCTTTGAGTGTTTTTGTTAATGTATGCTCCAAAAAACACCGCCGTTTGGACATTTTTAATGGACTTAATTGAATTGTAATAAGCTGCCGAAAAAGGAGGCGCTTAGTCATCGCCAAAAGGCGCTGAAACCTTAATTACTGAAGAGTTAAACTAAAGAGGGACAGGATTATAGGATCTAGAAAGGGTGAAAGTAAACGAAACACCTTCAAGAATGTTTAGATAGACAATGGGAGTCGTGAAAACCTGGTCACTGATGGCTTAAATTTAATGAGGATTATTTTAATGTTTGAAGGGATTTGGAAAAAAAACTGCTAAGCGACTTAAAAGATGGGCTGTAAGAACACAGCCACACAAAGGGATATAAGTATTCAACAGATGGCTTAGCGCGTTTCTGCTGTTTGTGAAGAATCTAGCGTTCTGCTGACGAATGAGTATCGTTATTGGTCGTTCAGTGGAATGGTGGAAGAGCACGTTGTCCAACTCGGATCATATATGCAAAGATTGCATGAATTAAAAGTCCCATATTTGAGTGTCTTTGTCAATGTACCGTCCAAAGACACTATACCCTTGGTGAAGAATTCACGGCGGCGATCTTTCAAAGCTTAAGGAATTCTTCAAAACTTAGAATTCCTAGGGAATTTATCCTTTGAGCAGGGGGAAGTAGATTTACAAAAGTTAGAAGCTGATTCCGTTCCAAAACAAACAAAAAAAAGAAAAAACCTTTTAGGTTTTGAAGAAGTTTGCTCAATATCTAAAGAAGCGAAAGATAAACTGTGATCTTCACACCGTAAGCCCTGCTAAACTGACCAGAATTCAGCGGAGATGTTCTAGATGCTCCTTCGAAATTTTGCAAAAAGCGAAATTGAAATGTCATATCTGTTCAACAGAAGCAATCCCCCTATGTATTAAGCTTTTCTAGGAACTTGCAACACAAGAATGAAAACAACCGCATAAACACAGTAACGAAAAGGGGAAGGACGTATATGTGATCATCGCCTGCATCTCCCGCCATACTGTTCAAATTGAAATATACTCTTGATCGTAAAACAAGACGTGAGAACTGAGGGTGCAAGTGAACGAAACACCTTCAAGAATGTTTAGATAGACAACGGGAGTCGTGAAAACCTGGCCACTGGTAAGTTAAATTTAATGAGGATTATTTTAAGGTTTGAAGCGATTCGGAAAAAAAAAACTGTTAAACGACTTAAAAAATTGTTCGTGAGAAGACAACAACACAAAAGGAATTAAGTGTTCAACTGATGGCTTAGCACGTCTCTACCGTTTATGAAGAATCTAGCGTTCTGCTGACGTATACGTATCGTTATAAGTCGTTCAACGGAATAGTGACAAATAATAATTTTAAAAAAGATTCATCTTCATCCAAAAAAAAAAAAGATTTATGTCTCCTTCCTTCGGTAGAGTGTCAGTTTGTAACGAGGATACTAATTTAATGAGAAAAGGCGGGGAGAACTGAAGGGTTAAGCTAAATAGGGACAAGGTCAAATCTCGTGAAAACAGTACTATTCTCACTTTGTCGAGCATTGTGGTACATTTTTCGGGCTACAATAGAGAATTTGGCGAGGTTGAAAAATAGCCATTAAAATGTGCGAATCAAACAATTGTACAATGTAAGCAGACAGTTTAAATCGGAGAGAGCTCTAACAATGTTCGCACCCTTTTCTTGAAGCGTTGGTGAAAGAATTCAAAGCCCATATAATGCTTGAAAATGGGGAATTATTTTGAGGATAAAACCGAGACAGAAAAGAAAATGTTTTTACGAAATTTCAGGTTATCATTCGCTAAGTTTCTTGGAAAAATTGCTCGTGAAAACATAGCCACACCAAAGGATTTAAGCGTTCAGCAGATGGCTTAGCGCTCCTCTACCGTTTATGAATAATCTAGTGTTCGGCTGACTGATGCGGTCGTTGTTGGTCATTTAACAGAATAGTGGAAAGGTACGTTGTCCCACGCGAATCAAATATGTAAAGATTGCATGAATTGAAAGTGCCATCTTTGAGTGTTTTTGTTAATGTATGGTCCAAAAACACCGCCGTTTGTACACTTTTAACGGACTTGATTGAATTATAATAAGCTGCCAAAAAAAGAGGCGCTTTGGTCATCGCTAAAAGGCGCTGAAACCTTAAGTACTGAAGAGTTAAACTAAAGAGGGACAGATTTATAGGATCTAGAATTGATTGAGCAATAATCACAAGACTTTCTGATGACTTTCATGGCGATAGAAGGTTCTTTGCGCAAGAGTCACAAGTTTTGATTGAAAGCCTCCAGTGATCAGTATAAGGCGTGGCATGTTCGCCGGTTCGTCCAATTTGTTTTCATCTTGAGTGGCCAAAATTTATTCTAATTTCAATTCACTACAGCCCTCATACAAACAAAGCTCTACTGTTGACCTAGAATTCGACCAAAATATTGACATGGGCATAATTTCATACTTCCAACAAGGGAAAGCTACGTAAATTTTAATTAGATTGCATCGCGTCTATTTCTCTTCTACATTACGTTTACATATAATGGGTAGATTTCTTATACCGAACTTAACAAACAGTTTAAGAGTGCTGATGTGTCTGGCATCCAAAATACCAAAGCTGTGTTCAATAAAATTTTGTGCAGCCATTCCAAACTCATTTGGGATTGCCATTCATTAATTACGGTAAAAGATCAGAGTTAAATATAACAATTACGGTCCAGTATGTCGCGTAGTAGTGTAGGAAAATGTTGGTACCGTTTATGCGTGTATGAGTTTCACCGAGGTCAGCTTAGCAACGCTAACACGGACTCACCTGGAACACACGCTTTTGTCTCATTCCATAAATTGCAATTGCAACTGAGGCCTATCGATTGATTTTTTCGAGTTCGGACCCTTCTTCCAAACTGGTCACAACTGCTCCAGGGTCCCCAACTTGTCCAGTTGCACGCTTGCCACATACACGAATAGGTGACTACGTTTGCAAAGCAAAGTAACACTAGAAAAAACCCGACGAAGGTTTTTGGTTTCATATTATCCTTCGTCATCATGCTAAGATCATTGTAAATTCAGTGTCCTCTTTTAACAACTAACTGCTGGTTTATATCGGCCTTTGTGTTGC